GGCAACCGGCCGGAATTGGAGGTCGATGGCGTCCCGGTGACCTTCCCCGGCCAGATGCGCAGGTCCTACCCCGATCGTTTCACCAGGGCCCCACCACGAAGTTGGGAGAAAGGATAACGGAGCCCTCAAGAGGGAAACAGGCCGCAGGTTACTACAGGAAACTTTTATTTCAACTGTGCAATCCATCTGTGTAAGATAGCAGTTTCATAAACATTTTGGCATTTAAATTTCTACTCATTTTTGGCATGACGTTTGTGCTAGAATCAGGACAAGCCTGAGAAGAGATGAGAGGACAGAGGAAGGACACAGGTAAACATTCATTATGCTATCAAAAGGTTTTTTTTTTTAAAAAAAAAGCATATTATAAGCAAAATGTTAAAAAAAGATATCTTAAAAAGGTACATTCATTATCAGACCATCACCAACTGTCCTGACACAATGAAGTTCACAGAGCTGATCCCCTGAGTCAAAGATAAAATTAATATAATTCAGCCCGATTCCCCCATTGGCCGGCCAGCCACTGATGATGGCCCTTCAAGAAAACAGCAGGAGTGGCCAGAGCCAGAACTCCCTTGGCCAAAAAGCCCGGCTGGACTCCCCACTGGCAGTTCATTCACATTCATCTTTAAGGATACACGGAAGGACATGTCTCTGAAACGGCCACGGAGCAAAGAGCCAGGCCTGGTGCAGCAGGTGCTCTGTGTGTGTGCAGCGACACGCTTGAGACATCTTGGGGGGAGGGGAGGGGGGATTCCCACTTGATGGAAGGTCCATATGCCAACCTGCCCAAAGAGAGCCAGGAGTCAGCCAAGCACACCCCCGGGATGAGCTTCACACTTGCTCCAGTGCACAACTGGAATCCAGATGTGACTGGTTTCAGGTACTTCAGGGAGAACCTTTGCCTCCTGCTCTGGTGTTAGTTGCTCTTCCTAATTGATGGAAAACGAATTCAGGGCTTCGCCCCAAAGTGCAAGGGAGAGTTGGGTGGTGTTGCCCCCCGTGTTTGAGATGCAAGGCAGACCCAGTGTGCGAGGGGATGCCCTGGCGGTGGTGCCATTGTAGCCCCTTTCTCCCAAGGCCTCATTGCCCTGCTTTTGGGGTAGGGGGGTACACCACTTGAGAACAAGAAGAGTGAAAGCAGCAGCAAAACAGTTGTGCCCAGAGAAAGGAGCAAATCTTGTGGTGATGATGCCAGCTAGAGTTCTGAAGCATCCCGAGAAGGAGATGGAAAAGCATAAAGCTCTTTCTAAACAGATAATTTCAGAACAAAATTAAGAAAGGTGTCTTAAACCTGGAACCTGGGATAAGGGTCTCCCAGACGAATGGAAAGGTTTGCTGAACCTGCCGTGACTGGGGAGGTTCACAAACCACATGCTTTATGCACAATGCTTGCAGATCATTGTGGCCGAGCCCACACACTCAGCCGTGCCCCCTCCCCCAATGCAGGTCAGGAGGTCCCCCAGGTGCCTGGGGGGGGGGGACAGCCACACTCAACTGCCCAAAGTCCTGCAAACTGCACACACAGACCCCTCGTGCCCCTGACCTGGCTCTTTTCTTGGCTCTCCATGGACAATATGCCCTGAACCGATATTTGGAAAAGTGGCCTTCGCTCTCAAGGGGCATTTATGGAGGACCTGCTTACAGATGTTTCCATGTGAACCAAGGGCTTCACCCTTTGCAAGTGGCTGATGGCACAAGCATATGCACTAGAAGGGTCAGGTCACACTTCCAGATGCTTTCTTGGATGTCCCGGGGAACTGATGGGGGCAGATGCCCCTTAAGTCCCCCTGGATTGAAAAGGAGACGGAAGGAAAGAAACCATTTGCTAGGAAGCACCCATAGGTCCCCAAAGTGTCCTTCTCAACCCCCACCCCACACTGCCAGCCTAGGTTTGCCCTGTGATGAAGGAAAGGTCATTCACACACACACACACACAGAGAGCCCCATATACAGGTGGGGAGGGGACCACTGAAAAGATAATGTCAATTCAAAACAAAAACAATAAAACTAAAGAAAGGTCACCTACCTACCTAGCGTAGGCCTCTCTGTCGAGGTAGCCTTAAATATCTTTGGTTTTCTTCATTTGCTGCTCTGCAACTTTGGACACAAACTATTTGCAAACCCCCCTCCCTCCCTCCCTCCCGTAGCCTTAAATATCTTTGGTTTTCTTCATTTGCTGCTCTGCAACTTTGGACACAAACTATTTGCAAACCCCCCTCCCTCCCTCCCTCCCTCCCTCTCTTGAGCTTGCACTCTGGCAACTCGGGAGAAAAGGACCCTCCACAGGAAAAGCGGGAGACCCAAGGAGGCCATCAGTGTACCTTCCTGGGCCAGGATGCCTCTGCTCCAGCCCCACCTCTGTGTGAGGGCAGGCTCCTCCACCCTGAGGGCTCCGCCAAAGGGCTCAAGGGACGGGGCGTGTCTTCGCTGCCAACTGCCAGAAACTAGGATGCCCTGGCACTGCCTCCTCGTCCCCAGAAGAGGTCCAAAATTGTCAATATCCACAGCAAACAAGTCTTTGGAGAAGAAGGGCACAGCAGGCCTTGAAGGGTATTGCCACGAAAATCAGCAAGCTGCCCACTCAAGCAGACGTCATTTGATGGTGGGGCAGGCTGAGATCTGGCCAACAAGACCCCCCCCCCCCCCGCCAATCAATCTTTGGCAAGCAAGTTTCCTTTTCTTCAACAAGTATAAATGGGCATTCAGAAAT